TCCAGGGCCCCCAGCAGCCCATGGGGCAGGCCAAGGGGCCAGGCTGGAGCGGCTCCAGCCCAGCAGCATGAAACTCACTCTCCCCAGGCTGACGCCCACCCTGTGGCCCCAAGTCCCCTCTCACCAGGGGTCCACTCACAGGCGCCCTTCCCCTACGGACCCTCAGGGACCCTCTCTGGCCCTGTGTCTCCCCTTCTCATCTCTGTCTTGGGGTCTCTGAGCCTTTGTGTCAGTTTCTGCTTCCCTGCATCTTGGCCCCCAACCCAGCCGTGTGGAGCCACAAAGCTCCCGGCCAGTGGGGTCACAGAGCCCTGGCCACACACACCTGGCCCCACCACAGCCAGACCACAGACCAGACATGACGTGGAGGTGCACGGCCGTGTCTGCCGGGGCAGGAAGTGGGCGACTGACCTTGTCTTGTAGGCCAGACACACAGCCATGCCGGCCCTCCGCGCCAGCCCCCAGCATCCAGCCGAATCAGTGGACACAGCCAGAGTGGTGGAGCAGGGGTCTGCTGAGGACAGAGGGCCATCGAGGCAGGGCCTGGGCCGAGTCTGGGCTCCCTTTCCACAACAGCCCCTCTTGGCGGGCAGCCAGACCCCCGTGAGGGCAGACCTGCAGCCACAGTGCCCACACACTGGAGGCCGCCCACTCGGCCCTGTTGACCCTCCAGCAGCCTAAGCAGGTGGGGCTCAGAGCTCTCCAGGCCTCCGCCTCCTCCTCTGCACATTGAGGCATCCATCCAGGCTGGTCCTAGGCCCTTCTGGGAGCAAAAGATGGAGAACAGGCACCAAGACCAGAGGGAAGGAGGAAAGAGGCCACCACAGAGACCCCGGAACCACAGGCAGGACTCCATACCCGGCAGGAAGGACCTGGCACTGGGGCCCGGCCAGGCTGGACAGGCCTACACTGAGATGATCCAGCCCTTCCTGGGATACAAGGTGAAAAGCTGTCAGGGCCGAGCTGAAGCCTAGGCTGAGCCAAGCCAGAGAAGAGCAGATGACCTGGGGCCAGCTGACACAGGTCCCTGGGGGCTGCCCTGAGCTGCCCTGGGCTGAGCTGGGCTGGACTGGGCTGAGCTGGACTGCCCTGAGCTAGGCAGGGCTGGGCAGGGCTGGGCTGGGCTGGGCTGGGCTGAGCTGGGCTGAGCTGGGCTGAGCTGGGCTGGGCTGGGCTGAGCTGGGCTGCCCTGAGCTAGGCAGGGCTGGGCTGAGCTGGGCTGCCCTGAGCTAGGCAGGGCTGGGCAGGGCTGGGCTGGGCTGGGCTGCCCTGAGCTGGGCAGGGCAGGGCAGGGCTGGGCTGGGCTGGGCTGAGCTGAGCTGGGCTGAGCTGGGCTGAACTGGGCTGAGCTGGGCTGAACTGGGCTGAGCTGGACTGGGCTGAGCTGAGCTGAGCTGAACTGGGCTGGGCTGGGCTGCCCTGAGCTGGGCTGAGCTGGGCTGAACTGAGCTGAGCTGGGCTGAGCTGGGCTGAGCTGGGCTGAGCTGGGCTGAGCTGGGCTGAGCTGAGTTGAGCTGGGCTGGGCTGGACTGAATTGAGCTGGGCTGGGCTGGGCTGGGCTGGACTGAGCTACACTGGGCTGGGCTGGACTGAGCTACACTGGGCTGGGCTGGGTTGGGTTGGGCTAGACTGAGCTGGGCTGAGCTGGGCTGAGCTGGGCTGGGCTGGGCTGGGCTGGGTTGGGTTGGGCTAGACTGAGCTGGGCTGAGCTGGGCTGAGCTGGGCTGAGCTGGGCTGGGCTGGGCTGGGCTGCACTGGACTGAGTGGAGCTGAGCTGGGCTGGGCTGGACCGAGCTAAGCTGAGCTGAGCTGGACTGATCTGAGCTGGGCTGGGCTGAACTAGGCTGCAATGGTCAGCCTGGGCTGGGCTGAGCTGAGCTGGACTGAGCTGGGCTAGGCTGGGCTGGGCTGGGCTGAGCTGAGCTGAGCTGAGCTGGACTGAGCTGAGCTGGGCTAGACTGAGCTGAGCTGGGCTGGGCTGAACTAGGCTAAAATGGTCAGGGTGGGCTGGGCTGAGCTGGGCTGGACTGAGCTGGGCTGGGCTGGGCTGGGCTGGGCTGGGCTGGGGTGAGCTGAGCTGAGCTGGGGTGAGCTGGACTGAGCTTGGCTGGGCTGGGCTGGGCTGGGCTGGATTGGGCTGGACTGAGCTGGGCTGGGCTGGGCTGGGCTGGGCTGGGCTGGGGTGAGCTGAGCTGAGCTGGGGTGAGCTGGACTGGGCTGGGCTGGGCTGGGCTGGGCTGGGTTGGGCTGGGCTTGGCTGAGCTGGACTGAGCTTGGCTGGGCTGGGCTGGGCTGGGCTGGGGTGAGCTGAGCTGGGCTGAGCTGAGCTGAGCTGAGCTGGACTGGGCTGAGCTGAGCTGAGCTGGACTGGGCTGAGCTGAGCTAAGCTGGCTGAGCTGAGCTGGGCTGGGCTGAACTAGGCTGGAATGGTCAGGCTGGGCTGAACTAGGCTGGAATGGTCAGGCTGGGCTGGGCTGGGCTGAGCTGAGCTTGGCTGGGCTAGGCTGAACTAGGCTGGGCTGAGCTAGGCTGGAATGGGCTGTGCTGGGCTGAGCTGGGCTGGGCTGGGCTGGGCTAAGCTGAGCTAGGCTGGAATAGGCTGGGCTGGGCTGAGCTGGGGTGGGCTGCACTAGGCTTAACTAGGCTAGGCTGGGCTGAGCTGGGCTAGGCTGGGCTGAGCTGGGCTGGGCTAGGCTGAACTAGGCTGGAATGGGCTGAGCTGGGCTGGGCTAGGCTGAACTAGGCTGGAATGGGCTGAGCTCAGCTGGGTTGGACTAGGCTTAACTAGGCTGGATGGGCTGAGCTGGGTTGAGCTGGGCTGGGCTAGGCTAGGCTGAACTAGGCTGGAATGGGCTGAGCTGAGCAGAGCTGAGCTGGGCTGGGCTGAGCTGAGCTGAGCTGAGCTGGGCTAGGCTGAACTAGGCTGAGCTGGGCTGAGCTGGGCTGGGCTGGGCTAAGCTGGGCTGGGCTGGGCTGAGCTGGGCTGGGCTGGGCTGGGCTAGGCTGAACTAGGCTGGGCTGAGCTGGGCTGAGTTAGGCTGGAATGGGCTGAGCTGGGCTGAGTTAAGCTGGAATGGGCTGTGCTGGGCTGGGCTGGGCTGGGCTGGGCTGGGCTGAGCTGGGCTGGGCTGGGCTGGGCTGGGCTGGGCTGGGCTGAGTTAAGCTGGAATGGGCTGTGCTGTGCTGGGCTGGGCTGGGCTGGACTGAGCTAGGCTGAAATAGACTGAGCTGAGCTAGGCTGGACTGGGCTGAACTAGGCTGGAATGGGCTGGGCTGGGCTGGGCTGAACTAGGCTGGGTTGAGCTGGGCTGAGCTGTGCTGTACTGAGCTGGCCTCTGGGCTGGGCTGGACTGACCAAGGCTGGCTGGGCTGAGCTGAGCTGGGCTAGACTGGGCTAAGCTGAGCTGGACTAGGCTGTGCTGGACTGGGCTGGGCTGGGCTTAGCTGGGCTGGGCTACACTGGGCTGGGTTGGGCTAAGCTAAGCTGGACTGGGTTGGGCTGAGCTAGGCTGGGCTGAGCTGGGTTGTTCTGACCTGGGCTGAGATGGGCTGCACTGGGCTGAGCTGGGCTGACATGGGCTGAGCTGCACTGGGCTGGGCTGAGCTGTGTTGAGCTGGGCTGGGCTGAGCTAGGCTGGCTGGGCTGGGCTGGGCCAAGGTGGGCTGAGCTGGGCTGAGCTGGACTCACCAGGGCTGAGCTGGGCTGACCTGGGCTGACCTGTACTGAGCTGGCCTCTGGGTTGGGCTGGGCTCAGATGGGCTGTGCTGGGCTGAGCTGGGCTGGGCTGAGCTAGGCTGGCTGCCCTGGGCTGGGCTGAGCTGGGCTGAACTGTACTGAACTGCCCTCTGGGCTGGGCTGGGCTGAGCTGAGCTGGACTGACTTGGGCTGAGCTGGGCTGGGGTGAGCTGGGCTGAGCTGGACTGAGCTGGGCTGAGCTGGGCTGAGCTGGGCTGAGCTGGGCTGACCTGGGCTGAGCTGGCCTCTGGGCTGGGCTGGGCTGGACTGAGCTGGCTGGGCTGGGCTGGGCTGAGCTGAGCTGAGCTGAGCTGAGCTGACCTGGGCTGGGCTGGATGGGCTGGGCTGAGCTGGGTTGAGCTGGGCTGACCTGTACTGAGCTGGCCTCTGGGTTGGGCTGGGCTGGGCTGAGCTGAGCTGAGCTGAGCTGACCTGGGCTGGGCTGGATGGGCTGGGCTGAGGTGGTTGCTCATGTGAGAAGGAGGCCATGGGTTGAATGTGAATCCACCTGCAGAGTCCCAGCTTGGCAGTCACTTGGCAGTCCCTGTGTTCTCAGGGGTTCTGAAGGCCATGCACCTCAGTTGCACCATGATTCTGTCTTCTCCCTGGCCTGTTGCCCTGGAGGAAATTTGGAGTGAGCTGGCCCAGAGCTCCCCTGTGTAGCAGGCCCTGTCCTGGAGGGCCTGGCAGGAGCATGGCTTAGTGTTTAGACCTCTGGTCCTGAGACCGCATAGATCACAGGGGTTCACTGTGGCTTGCTGGGGCCTGGGGTGGGGTTTGTGGAGTGGTGGGTGTTGGACTGACCAAGGACAGGGAGGTGGGGTCACAGCCGAGCCACCCACCCCCTACCCCATCCAAGCAGCACTCAGAGCCCAGGACCCCTCCTCAGAGCCCCCACCAAGATCCTCTCTAGCTGTGGGGGAGAGAGCAAGGCATGTCACCCAGCCAGAGCAGGCACTGAGGTCGGGGGCTCAGGGGGCTCAGGGGACTTGGCCACTATGTGACAGAGCCTGTTTAACACAGCTGGTATCAGGGACGGCCTGGGTCAGGGCCCTATCTGAGGAGCGTGTTCAGAAACCACGTTGCTGGGATGACTACTGGGTCCCATCACAGGCCCGTGGTGCCAGAGCTGTGTGACCTCGGGGCCGTCACGGGGCCTCTTTGTGCCAGGCTCCTCCAGTGTAGAGGAGAGGCCAGCACAGCCTGTGCTCCTGGGACACGGCAGGAGGGCCGCACCCTCATGGCGCACCCTGTGTTCCAGAATCCCCAACCAAGCCCCAGGTCTTCCCGCTGAGCCTCTGCAGCGAGCAGCCAGATGGAAACGTGGTCGTCGCCTGCCTGGTCCGCAGCTTCTTCCCCCAGGAGCCACTCAGTGTGACCTGGAGCCAAAGCGGGACCACCACACACTTCCCGCCCAGCCAGGCGGCCCCCGGGGGCCTGTACACCACGAGCAGCCAACTGACCCTGCCAGCCGCGCAGTGCCCGGACACCAAGTCCGTGAAATGCAGCGTGAAGCACTACACGTACGACACCCAGGATGTGGCCGTGCCCTGCAGAGGTCAGCGGGCAGGCTGGGGAGTGGGGCGGGGCCCCTCTGCCCTGCCCGACAGCACCTAGGCCCATGTTCCCCACAGGGAGCCACCCCTTCACTCACGCCAGAGCAGGCTGCTGTCAAAGCCCCAGGGGCGGGAGGTGGACAGGCCAGGAGGGGCAGGGCGGGGGCACAGGGAGGGGCATGCTGCCGGCTCAGGCCATCTCTCCACTACAGCTATTCCCCCACTCTCATGTCGCTCGTGCTGCGAGCCCCGACTGTCACTGCACCGGCCGGCCCTCGAGGACCTGCTCCTGGGTTCAGAAGCGAACCTCACGTGCACACTGACCGGCCTGGCCAATGCCTCGGGCATCACCTTCACCTGGAAGCCCTCCAGTGGGAAGACCGCTGTCCAGGGGAAACCTGAGCGTGACCTCTGTGGCTGCTACAGCGTGTCCAGTGTCCTGCCCGGCTGTGCCGAGCCGTGGAACCGTGGGGAGACCTTCACGTGCACTGCTGCCTACCTTGAGAACAATACCTCACTGACCGCCACCATCACAAAACCAGGTGGGCCCTAACCCGGCTTGGGGCCCTGCTTGTGCTGTAGTTTGCAAAGCATCTTCCTGGCCTGCCTCCTCCCTCCCCGTCCTGGGCTCGGGTTGCTCATGCCGAGTACAGAGGGAAACTGAGGCAGGCTGAGGGGGGCCAGGACACAGCCCAGGGTGCCAACAGAGCAGGGGGTCTCCCTCACCCCTCATCCAGCCCCCTGACCTGACTCTCTACCCTCCAGGAAACACCTTCCGGCCCCAGGTCCACCTGCTGCCGCCGCCGTCGGAAGAGCTGGCCCTGAATGAGCTGGTGACTCTGACGTGCCTGGCACGCGGCTTCAGCCCCAAGGATGTGCTGGTTCGCTGGCTGCAGGGGTCCCAGGAGCTGCCCCAAGAGAAGTACCTGACTTGGACATCCCAACAAGAGCCCGGCCAGGACACCCCTACCTTCGCCGTGACCAGCGTGCTGCGCGTGCCGGCCGAGGCCTGGAACAAGGGCGACACCTTCTCCTGCATGGTGGGCCACGAGGCCCTGCCGCTGGCCTTCACACAGAAAACCATCGACCGCCTGGCGGGTAAACCGACCCACGTCAATGTGTCTGTGGTCATGGCGGAGGTGGACGGCGTCTGCTACTGAGCCCACCTGTCCCTGCCCCCGAATAAACTCCATGCTCCCCCAAGCAGCCCCATGCTTCCATCCGGCGCCTGTCTGTCCAGCCTCAGGGCCTCAGCATGTGGGAAAGGGCCAGGCCACAAAGAGGGAAGAGCACCCCCTGCCCCAAGCCTCAGGGGCCCCTGGCACCCCCGAGAGCCCTTCCACCTGGTGTGAGTGTGATGTGTGAGTGTGAGTGTGTGGTGCAGGAGGCCTCACTGGGGTGAAATCAGGTCTGCCAAGGCAGGAACAGCCCAGGGTAGGTTCTGAGAAACTCAGGTGCCCCAGAGAGTTCCAAGTGGGCAGTGGCATGGCCGTTTGTCCCTGAGAGAGCTGTCTGTGGCTGCAGTTGGGAGGGAATGGGGAGGGTGAGAGGAGCAGGCTGGCAAAGAGGCTGGCGCCTCGGGCAGGTAGTGGGAGGAATGGCAAGGGAGTGAGGGGCTGGGCTCCAGGACCCACTGCAGGGGAGGACAAGCTCCAGGAGAGCCCCACCACCCTAGTGGGTTGGCCTCAGGACGGCCCAATGACTCAGGCAGAAAGGGGCACCTCCTGCCTCCACACTGCTCTGTATGGAGCACACGGGCACACGGGCACTCTCACACTCACACACACACCTGAGCCCTGCAGGAACAGCATGTTCACAGCCAAGATCCAGCTCCAGAAAGGCCAGGGGAGCCCCTCCCAAGCCCCCAGAAGGCATTCCCAGGCCCAGCCCGCTGCCCAACCCCTCAGCCTCCCCATGTTTCCACTGTGCACAGCTCAGGGGCCAGCTCTCCAGACCCAGGCAGCCCCTGCTCCCTGCCTGGCCCCAAACTCCTGTCTCCCATCCCTTCCTGAGCCCAGGTAGGACCCAAAGCAGACAGGGAGGGGCCACGTGGGGCAGCATCAGAGCAGGCCAGTGAAACAGGGCCCACCTGGCCCCTCTGCTTGGGGCTCCCAGGAGGAAGAACAGTCACAACCGCTGCAGGGACACCCCACAAGGGGGCAGTGGGGGCCCTGCTCTGGCCTTAGATGCCTTCTGGGCCTCCCCAGGGGCCCCGCCTTCTGGCTGCCTGCCTCTGCTCTCAGGGCTGAGGTGAGGTGACTGGACCCTCTGGTGACTGGACCCTCTGGTGACTGGACCGTCAAGAGGCCACCATCACCCTTGAGGGTCCAGTCACCAGAGGGTAATTGAGAACAACAGGTCACTCAGGGAAGCCCTGCCACCAAGAAGCCCTCCAACCCATGGGACCCAGGACCTGGCCCAGAGGAGGGGCTTTTAAAGAGAAGGGGAAAGAGGGAGAATCAACAGATGAGGGGTTGAATGAGCAGAGAGCAGGCAGACACGTGGGAGGATCCTAGGACATGTCAAATGGATGGGTGAATGGAGGATGGATGGGTGGTAAAAGAGATGGGTGGGTAAATGGCTGGATGGTGGATGGATAGATGAATGGATGGAGCATAGATGGGTGGATAGAGGGTGGTTGGGTGGTAAAATGGATGGGTGGATGGATGAAGGATGGGTGGATGGAGGATGGATGAATAAAGGATGGAGGATGGATGGATGGATGGATGGATGAATGATGGGTGGATGGATGGATGATGTATGGGTGGATGGAGGATAGATGAATGGAGGATGGATGGATGGATGGATGATGGGTGGATGGATGGATGGATGGATATGAATGGGCGGATGGATTAATGGATGGATGAATGAATGGATGATGGATGGGTGGATGGAGGATAGATGAATGGATGGATAGGTGGATGGATGGATGGATGGATGATGGGTGGATATGGATGGATGGATGATGGATGGGTAGTAAAATGGATGGATGAATGAAGGATAGGTGGATGGAGGATAGATAAATGGAGGATGCATGGATGGATGGATGCATGATGGGTGGATGGATGGATGGATGGATGATGGATGGGTGGTAAAATGGATGGATGGATGGATGGATGGATGGATGAAGGATGGGTGGATGGAGGATAGATGAATGGATGATAGATGGGTGGATGATGGATGGATGGGTGGATGAAGGATACACAAGTGGATGGAGGATGGATGGATGGAGGGTTGAGGATAGATGGATGGGTGAATGTATGTATGAGGATAAGTAGAAGGAAGACAAATGGATGGATAATTGCTTTATAGATAGACATATGCATGGATATTTGAATCATAGCCTTCTGTTAATGGATGAATGGATGGGTGAGTGGGTAAGAGTGTTACAGATGGAGGAATGGATATATGGATAATAGTTTATAGTTCGGTGGGTGGACAGATGGATGGAAGCATAGAAAGGTGAATGATTGGAGGTATCAGCATATGACAAGCAAGTACAACTCTAGGTGGTCTCTATGCCCTGAGACCCTGAGGAAAATGAGGATGCCTGTGCTGGTGGCCCTTGCCTGGCCCTCCCTTGTAACCCCTCAGCCACATTCCCTGGGAAGGCAGCAGGGGCCTCTGGTCTTGCCCATTCAACCTTTGGCACACTGAGTGTCAGGCTCAAGTCTTATCCTGGACCCAGATCTCCTTGAGGGTGGATGGTCTGATCCTCTCTGGCCCTGGGACCCAGTCACTGAATATATGGCTGAGACTGAGACTGGGGGTGGCGGGGCAGGTACCTTGGGCTCAAGCTCCCCTTGAAGGAGCAGATGGTGCCCACTCTCTGCCGAGTCTCTCCCAGGTATCCTGAGAACCTCGAAGACAGAAGGTCTCAGCCCCTTGCCTGGGACCCTGCCTCCTCATCTTCCCTGGGGGAGTCTCAGGCCTGAGATGGGGATCCAGACCCCACTGTCCCCAGACCCCAAGGAAGCATAGCCCCTGTTCACATGAGCCTGGGCTGGGCAGTCCCTCACTGTGTTGCAGATTGGCAGACACTGCCTCCCTGTGTGGAGCTGGACCCACTGCAGGAGACCCTGGAGGAGGAGACCCCTGGCGCCAGCCTGTGGCCCACCACTGTCACCTTCCTCACCCTCTTCCTGCTGAGCCTGTTCTACAGCACAGCACTGACCGTGACCAGTGTCCGGGGCCCGTCCAGCAGCAGGGAGGGCCCCCAGTTCTGAGCAGCAGCCGGCAGGGCACAGGTACACATGCTGTAGATAGCATCTATAGCAGGCAAAGCAAGCACTGTGGGCTCCTGCTGTGGGGGGTCATGCTCTCCTGGGGGGCCTTCACAGACACTGAGGACACAGGCAGGCCTGGGGTCAGGCCTGAGCTTCCCTCCAGTGCAGTAACCCGGATTCAGTCCAGGCTCCCCTGAGCCAGGATGGATGATGGATGGGTGGATGGAGGATGAGTGATGAGGACCAGGGCTGGGACGGAGGGCATTGGCTGCTGCTCCTTCAGGCTGTGACCCTCTGTCTTTGCAGGGAGGAAGTGTGGAGGTACCTCTTGGAGAGGCCAGGCATGCCAGAACTCAACCCTTTCAGAAGCCACTGACCCACCCCTACTCATATGCCTTCCAGGTGCAATAAAGTGGCCCCAAGGAAAACGTTCACAAACTCTGAATGAGGAGACAGAGGTCAGGGGAAGGGAGGTGGCTGTAGCCTGGAGGACTCCTGCTTCAAAGTCCCCCTGGATGTCATGGTGGGCAGGGTGGGCATGGACAGAGGGTACCTCTGGTCCCAAAATCAATAAAGGACCTGATCTTGCATGAGGCTGAGGCCCAAGGATGAATGCTGGATTCACCAGAACCGTGGCAAAGAAATCCACTCTCAAGGACTGTATGGGAACCCCATTCCTCACAACCTAGACAGCCCTGGTCCTCCTCACTGGGTCCTCACCCTGATCACAGGGCCCTGTTCCTAATCAGTAGGCCCTTTTACTGATCACTGAGCTCTGGTCCTACTACTTGGGTCCTGTTTCTGATCACGAAATTCTATCCTTGATCACTGAACCTTAGTCTTGATCACTGAGTCCTACTCCTGTTTTTACCCCTGAACCTGATAACTCAGCCCTGGTTCTGATTACTCAGCCCTGGTCCTCATCACTCAGCCCTGGTCCTTATCACTCAGCCCTGGTCCTCATCACTCAGCCCTGGTCCTCATCACTCAGCCCTGATCCTCATCACTCAGCCCTGATCCTCATCACTCAGCGCTAATCCTCATCACTCAGCCCTGGTCCTCATCACTCAGCACTAATCCTCATCACTCAGCCCTGGTCCTCATCACTCAGCCCTGGTCCTCATCACTCAGCCCTGATCCTGATCACTCAGCCCTGGACCTGATCACTCAGCCCTGGTCCTCATCACTCAGCCCTGGACCTGATCACTCAGCCCTGGTCCTCATCACTCAGCCCTGGTCCTCATCACTCAGCCCTGGTCCTCGTCACTCAGCCCTGGTCCTGATCACTCAGCCCTGGTCCTCGTCACTCAGCCCTGGTCCTTGTCACTCAGCCCTGATCCTCGTCACTCAGCCCTGGTCCTCGTCACTCAGCCCTGGTCCTTACCACTGAGCCCTGGTCCTGATCACTGAGCCCTGCACCTAATCACTGTATCCTAGTCCTGGTCACTAACCCCTGTTCCTGATCACTGAGCCCTGGACCCAATGACTGGGCCCTGTGCCTGAGCACCGAGCCCTGGAGCTGATCACTGGGCCCTGGTCCTGATCACTGTACCCTGGTCCTGATCACTGGGCCCTGGTCCTGATCACTGAGCCCTGGTCCTAATCACTAGGCCCTGGTCCTGATCACAGAACTCTGGTCCTGATCACTGAGCCCTGGTCCTGATCACTGGGCCCTGGTCTTGATCAGTGAGCCCTGCACCTAATCATTGCTTCCTGGTTCTGGTCACTAACCCCTGTTCCTGATCACTGAGCCCTGGACCCAATGACGGGCCCCTGTGCCTGAGCACTGAGCCCTGGAGCTGATCACTGAGCCCTGTTCCTGGCCACTGCACCCTGGTCCTGATCACTGGACCCTGGTCCTTATCACTGAGCCCTGGTCCTTATCACTGGGCCCTGTTCCTGATCACTGGGTCCTGGTCCTGATCACTGGGCCCTGATCCTGATCACTGGGCCCTGTTCCTGATCACTGAGCCCTGTTCC